TTTCCTCTCCTTTCCTCTCCTTTCCTCTCCTTTCCTCTCCTTTCCTCCCCTCCCCTTCCCTCCCTAAAAGATGTAGCTTTGTGTAGGGCATCTGAAGTAGCAAAAGAATTTTGTTGTACCTTTAATGAGAATTGGAAATTGCTTCACCTCCCATTTAATCATGGCAGTGTCATAAATTAGGAGGGACAGATAGAGTGTTCCTCTATGCCTGGTCTCTGTATAAATTACCACCTGTTGATGCACATGGTGGTGCTGGTGATGAGCGTGCCATGAATGAAGTAAATTGCACACTTACAAATAGCCTTAGCATCTGAAGAAAACGTTTTTAAGTATATTTGGCCACAAATCACACCTTACAAAATGTAAGGGAACAGTAATCCTAAACATTCCGTCAAATCACAGTGGAATTAAACTAGAAATCATAACAAGAGGATAGCTGGGAAATCACATCTATTAATGGTGGGATTAATCTTTTTAATGCATACTAGACAACATACTTCTAAATAACACGTGTCAAAGTCTCAAGAGGAATTAAAAAATATTTTGAATTAAATCAAAATGAAAATACAGTACCAGACTTTGTGGGAATTTATCAAAAATACTGCTTACACCAGCATTTTAGCATCGAATGCATGTATTAGAGAAGAAAGATCTAAAATTAATAATAACTTTGCACTTCAGGAAAGTAGAAAAAGGAGAGCAAATAGAATTCAAAGTAAGTAGAAGAAAAGGAATAACAAGCTTTAGAACAGATATCAGTGAAACTGAAAATAGAAAAACAGAAGGAAAAAACCCAACAAAACAAAAAATTGGTAATTGTAAAGGTCTATAAAATTGATAAACTTCTAGGCAGGCCAAACAAGGAAGAGAGAAGATAAAAATTACCCATATCAGAAATACAAGAAGGGCCACCTGAAGGGCCATCCCTAGTGATCCCATGGACATTGAGAGAATAATAAAGGAATACCGTGAAAAACTCTGTGCCCACAGATTTGATGACCTAGATGAGACGGACCACTTCCTTGGAAGACACAACATACGAAAACTCACACGAGGAGAAATTGATAATCTGAATAGCCCTATGCTTGTTAAAGAAATTAAATCAGTAATTAATAAACTTCCAAAATAGGAAGCACCAGACCCAGTTTCTCGAGTGAATTCTACCAAACATTTGAGGTAGAAATTATATGAGTTTTTAATGATCTTTCCCAGAAGATAGAAGAAGAAACAACCCTTCCTAATTCATTCTGAGGCCAGTATTACCCTGATAATCAGAACCCGACATTACAAGAAAGGAAAACCACAGACCTTTATCTCTCATGAATGTAGATGTAAAAATTCTCAACAAAATATTAGCAAATCGAATCCAGCAATGTATAAAAGCAATTGTATCCCACAACCAAATGAGATTTTTTTTCTAGATGTGGAAGCCAGGTTTAACACTGAAATCACTGTAATCCATTATATCAAAGCCTAAACAGGAAAATCACATGATCATATCAACAGATCGGGGTGGGGGGAAGCATGTGACAAAATCCAGCACCCATTAGTAGTGAAAACTCAGCAAACTGTGATTAGACAGGAGCTTCCTCACTTGATAAGAACTTCTACAAAAGAACCTACAGCTAACATCGTACTGAATGAGCAAGAACAGGGCAAGGGCATCCCTCTCACGTGTCCTTTTCAACATCTGCTAGAAATCATGGCTAATGTAGGAAGATGAGAAAAGGAAATAAATATATACAGATTGGGAAGGAAGAAACAAAACTTCATAGAAGACATGATTGTCCATGTGGGACATCCCAAAGAATCAACAACAACAAGAACAAAACAGTCATAAGTAGTTAGACCAACATTGCATGATAGAAGTTTAATAAGCAAAAGTCAGTTGCTTTACCTATATACCAGCAACGAAGAATTAGAATTTGAAATTAAAAACATAACGTCATTTACCTTAGCACAAAAAAAATGCAAAATACTTAAGTGTAAATTTAAAACAAAGTACAAGGTTTATAGGAAGAAAACTACAAAACTGGTGAAAGAAATCAAGATCTAAGTAAATAGATATCCCATGTTCATGGATAGTAAGACTCATTACGAAGAAATCACTTCTTCCCAACTTTATTTATAGATTCAGTGCAATCCCGATAAAAATAAGCAAGTCTGTATTGACAAACCAGTTCTAAAGCTTTTATGAAAAGTTCAAAGACTTAGATGAGCCAACCCAGTATTGAAGAAGAACAGAGTTGGGGGACTGACACTACCTGACTCCAAGACTTACTGTAAAGCTACAATAAGCAAGACAGTTTGGAGTTGGCAAAAGAACAGGTAAATGGATCAGTGGAACAGAATAAGGAGTCCAGAGTGTATTCATATAAAATAGTTATATAAGTGGACTCCTAGAAAGTAAAATGATCTTTGGGGCACCTGGGTGGCTCAGTTAAGCGTCCAACTTCGGCTTGGGTCATGATCTCACAGTTCATAGATTTGAGCCTCACATCAGGCTTTGTGCTAACAGCTCACAGCCTGCTTCAGAAACCCTGTCCCCCACCCCTCTCTCTGCCCCTCCCGTACTCGTTCTCTGTCTCAAAAATAAATAAACAAAATAAAATGATCTTTGACAAAAGAGCAAAGGCAATTCAGTGGGGGAAAAGATAGTCTTGAAAACAAACAGTACTGAAGCAGATGGATATTGAGCTACAAAAAGATGAACCTGGACACCGACGTCACAACCTTCACAAAAATTAACTCAAAGTGGGCCATAGACCCAATGTCTTCAAGATCACCTAGAAAATGTAGGTGTATTTGGGTTTGGCGATCGCTTTTTTAAGATACAACACCAAAAGTATAATATCTGTGAAAGAAAAAATTAATGTTTGATTTTATTAAAATTACCCACTTCCACTCCGCAAAAGACACTGTGAAGAGAGCAGGAAGAGATCCTCACGGCTGCCTGATAAAGGACTTGTGTCCAATACATACAAGGAACTTTTAACACTCAACAATATGAAAATAACCCATTAAAAAGTGGGGGAAAGATCTGAACAGACACCTCACCAAAGTAGATACACAGATGGCAGATAAGCATAGAACATGCTCCACATCGTGTGTCATTAAATGCAAATACAGGAGCACCTGGGGGGCTCGGTTGGTTAGGCCTCTGACTTGGGCTGAGGTCATGATCTCACAGTTTGTGGGGTCGAGCCCCGCATCGGGCTCTGTGCTGACAGCTCAGAGCCTGGAACCTGCTTCGGGTTCTGTGTCTCCCTCTCTCTCCGCCCCTCCACCGCTCACACTCTGTCTCTCCCTCAAAAATAAATAAACTGTAAAAGAAAAAAGAAATGCAAGTACAAACAAAATACCAATTTGCCCATCTCTTAAGAGCTAAGCGGAATCTTCCCTCATGACCCAGCAATCATACGACTGTGTATTTACCCGAGTGAGTTGAACCTTACATCTGCACAAAAGTCTGCACACTGTTTTAGCAGCTTTATTCAGAATTTCCAAACTTGGAAGCAGCCAAGGTGAATGGATAAGCTAAGGTGCATCCATACACTGGCGTCTTATTCAGCGATAAAAGGACATGATCTGTCCTGCCACCAAAAGACACGAAAGAGCCTCAGCCGCATACTGCTCCGTGAAGGACTTCCGTCGAAAAAGGTCACATACGACAGGATTCCAAGTCTGTGACCTTCTGGAGAAGGCAGCGAAGGGCAGGGATGAGTGTGCTTAGGGCAGGTCAGCTGTTCTGTATGATCCTGTAGTGAGTGGTGGGTATGTGACTGTGCTTTGTGAAAATCCAGCACAGAAGGCCCACAGCGGCCCGTGGAAACTGGACTGTAGGGAATAATACTGGATCAGTACTGGTTCCTCAGTTGTGACAAATAGACCCCGGGGGCTTGAAGGAAGTGTATGGGAGGCTGACCTTTCTGCTCAATGTTTTGTAAACCTAAAACTATGTAAAAGATAAAGCCTGTTGGTTTTTTTTATGTACATTTGAAATGAGGGTGGGGGGCATATTTGGAATTAGAATGGTCAATTTGGTAACAGAATTCTTCAGATGATTAGTAGGATTCAAATTTTAGATTATTTTCTGTTTTTTGTTTTGTTTTGTTTTTTTTAAATAAAGCTTGTTCAACGTTTACAGTTTTTATTTTTTGGTTTAGGTAACATAATGTTTTGTCTCTCTAGACTATTTCAACAAAAGACAGGCTTGAAGGTCTTCTTGCTTTTAAAGAGAAAAGGTCCCCTCGCTATAAAGGAGAATAGAAGAAACAAACCTTTCAAATGCCAGTGTAAGACGTGTACTTCTGGAAGTATCTTTCAGATCCACATTTGCCTCAGCACCTGGAATCCCACTGACCAAAGTGAAGAACGCGCCCTCCGTCTAGTGAATTAGGCATCTGGAGCGGACCCATCTGCGTACTTTGTTCAAACGTGTCTCATGTCATATTCATTCAGGTTTATAAAGCTAGTAGTCTGCGCTGTCAGAAACCGATTCAAAGTTAGGTACACAGTTTTAAATATTTCCTGCATACGAGGCTTTCTGTTCTTAATTTTTTAATGTGAATAATTTCTATATTGCACACTCTAGGAAATAATATTGATTGTATGTCTACTGTGCTGCAATACGAAATAAAATTATTTCTATATACCAAAAAATGTGAAGTCATACCAAATAAAGTTTCTAAGGGAATGTGTATACACGCACACATACATGCATCTCTGACTGGAAGAGGAATTGATAGGTTCTCTGAGTGAAAATTACCAAATATAAATAAAATCGGTGAAAAGAAAACTTGGGAATTTCTCTCTTACCCCATTCTTTCTGAATTGAATAAATCATCGCGTGTTGGCTTTTAGAGGAAACCAGCTTTCCATGCCCATTCTGTGAGGTGACCTCTTGAGTCTTAGAATGCAGTGCAGATGGTGGGAAGGTAACCCGGTCAGAGACAGGGGCCCAAGGCCTCGTGAGGCGCACTTGAGGCTTGGCGGTGGCGCGCTTGGACGACCGCCCTGCAGGCGGCCCCATCCACCAGTCTGACTGGGGTACAGAGCCGTGCCGCCGGGGCCGTGCTGCCCTAACAGGCCTGCAGCCGTGGAGTGTGAGTGTTTCCCGCCCCCGGCTCTTGCACATCTAGTTTCAGTGAGGAAGGAGGTGAACACGGCCACCCCGTCTCCCGCTTCTAACCGCTGGCCATGCAAAGTGAGTAGATTCGGAGGGGCTCGGGGGCACGTCTGAGCGGACAGCCTCGCCGGGGGAGGGGGCAGGTACCACATGTGCAGGGCACAGTGAGCTGTAGAATTCAGTGTGTGGTGCAGGGGGAACATTCCAGCCCCCTAAACAGATTCCGGCCAGCTTTCTTTTGTACGTTATCAAACCAGGCTGCCTTCCCCGAGCCTGTGTCCGGGCCCGAGGTTGGCAGTACCGGGAAGGCCCCACTTTCCCGGGACGGGCACTGCATGACGAGCAGACCATGGTGGTGCCCCACCGTCCTCCCCGATCCCACACCCGTGCTCTGTTGCTGTCGAGTGCGGTTGGCCATGTGGGTGACCGCCTGTCCTGTGCATTCCCACGCTCAGCACCGATCCTTCCTTGATCTTGGGAAGCACGTCGACTTTGAAAGTTATTATTATTTTTCATTTTGCGAAACTGAACTCTCCTCCTCCATTTGAAAAGCCTTGAGCTAGGCAAGCGTGGACTTGTCGCGTGTCAGAGCCTACCCAGCCAGGCTTTGGCCGTCCCCACTCTCCGTGTCCTGGTGCCGAAGGACAGCGCGATGTTCTCTCTCACCTGTGCGGCTGGCCCTGCACGTTTGGGGGCAGCGCTCAGCCGGTTGGCCTCATGTGATGGGGGCTTAGTAAATTCCACATTCGGCCCTGGCGATTGTATCCGGCGAGGTGCACGCTTTGTTTTCTGATAAACTTGCGCCGCTCACTTCATGCAGGATAATTTGCAAGTAAAGTACTGTTCCTTATTTTCTTAAGATTTCAGGAACGTGTTGTTCGGCCCGTGACACGTTCAAATGCCAGTTCATTTTCGCGGAGCGGGAAATGATCACCTGAATGGCGAAAATATCAAGCGTGTGCCGAATGACTGGTCTCTCCCCACGGATGCGTGGTCTATTGCTGATTGAGCACCATTTAACTTCCTGCAAGTTCGGATGAAGTCACCAGAGCGGATCTGAAAGCAAAGAGCTCCTCCCCTTGTGACTGCAGAGATCACAGACTCATGTATCAGAGCGAGGGGAAAGTGCCCACTTGTCTGCGAAGTTTGCCTTTCCTGTGGTCTTTCTTTCGGCAGAGCTAGGGTGGTCCTGATGCTGTGCCCGAGTCCGGTGGCTCCTCGAGGGGGCTGCCCCCCACGGGGCGGGCTGCTGCCCACGTTGTCCTCCGGCACGCAGAGCGTTTGCGCGGCCTTACTCAGAACCACGGCAAGCTGACACACGCTGGCGACGTGGTGGCGATCCCCAATGTCCTGATGAAGATGAAGAAGACCTGGGGGGAGGGTGGTTAACTGAGCACAGTCCCCGTTCAGGGGAGAAGCATTTCACATCATCTCAGAGCAGGAGACACACTGGTTTTCAAGGACGCTTGTGCTGGTTAATCCATAACCTTTCTGGGAAAGAAGAGGCCTCGCGAGTCACAGAAGCTGGGAGACGAGAGTTGCAGTAATGGCCCAAAGAAAACGCACATTGTCTTGACTCCTTTCTGGGTAATCACGGTCCATTTCCAATTTATTAGAAAACATCCGGTTTTTCTTAGTCCTTCCCCCCCCCCCCCCCCCTTCTGGCTGTCAAAATGGCTTGTCACAGAGTTCTCACTTTTCTGGCCACTTTTCTTAGAGCTTTGTAGGTAGGTGGACCCAAGTAGCTGGGTGTTGCTCACAGATGCCATGCTCCATGGGAAATGCTTGTGTCTCGTGAGGGCTTGTTGGTGGCGGGCCATTGACCCTTTGTGTCCCTGGACCATGGCTCTCTCTTGTGATAGGTCCCACAGTTGCTCTGATCCGGGGTCTGAAACTCCTGGCAGGCAGACGCTTTCTTGTATTTAATTGTGCCATTGTATTTCTTCGTCCACCCACCAAGTTAACTGTCAATGTATGTGTAGGTCGGCGTTATTGGGCTTTATCAAAATGGCAGTGTGATCAATTTCTTATGTTACAGAATAACTGTGCATTTGTCCCGAAAGAAAAACTACAGCATTTAAAAGTTCCTTGGTAATGTGTTGGTAAAATGGAAACCATTTTTCCTCATTGACGACACAGGCTGTATACAGACTGTGCTTGGAGGTGTTTCGGGTGTTAGGGATTGAACCCTCCGCTCAAAATACCTGTGGGTCCCAGTCCCTGAAAACCCACCATCCCTTTGGACTCTCGGAGTCCTTGGCTTTGAGAGACCCCCCCTCCCCACAGATCCTTAGAGGTCAGGCTCCCCACCCTCAAGCACGTGGTTTGGGGCATCTGTTTTCCAGGTGCATTCTCCAGGCAGTGAGAGAGCAGGGCGCCCGGCAGGGGGAATTGAGGTTGCCGAGGACAGCCCAAGACGTGGAGCTCGAGCTGTTGGGGCCAGACCCCATCGTCCTGTTCCTGCAGCGCGAGGCCAGGAAGACAAGGTAGGAGGAGGCCATCCTCAGTGAGCTGACTGTCTCCTGTGGGGCAGCAGAGTGAGCTCAGCCACCAGCTTGTCTGTCCCGTTTTCGGGTGTGTGTTGCCTGTTTTGGTTGGAGGGAACACGGACAAGATCACTGCAGATGTGAATACGGACAAGATGCGGGAATTTGGGCTGGTCGTTAGGGTTACTGACCACCGCGTGTGAGGCCCCAAACCTCTGCGGCTGTTCCGTGCTGGGTTTACTCTCCACAGCCCCCAGAGGGAGAGTTCCAGGTGACTCCCGGGGGGCAGAACTCGGAGCACAGAGTGAGTGCAGGAGGGCAGTGGGGTCGGGAGCTCTCCCCCCACCCCCACCGCCGGGTCCCATAGCTACCTGTTTGCAGCCAGCGCCCAGAGACCCTTGGGAACGGGTTTGCCCCTCGGGGGGCCGAGAAAGTGGAGGGCTGGATCAGTGGCAGGCGCCGTGCCCAGAGCCCCGAAGTCTCATCACTGCGCTCTGGCGGGACATGGGGCCGGCCGCGGGGGCTGGGAGCGGGGCATTGCCTCCCTCAGCTGGCGACCGGAGCGTGAGTTTGGGGACTTGTGGTTTGTGGTGATACCAAAACAGGAAGCCCGTGTGGCTCGAGAGCCCCCCGTACTCTTGGGACAGCATGGCGGGCACCTCGCTCTGCTCTGCGCTCTCACTCACCCAGAGCCCCGCGTTCAGTTCGAGCATCACAGGTTCGCTCTGCGTTTCTAGAGAGCACCCAGGAGCCCTTTGACCAGGTTTCTTAGAAGGTCAGTGAGGAGACCCACCTCAGGCAAAGCATCTCGTCATCTGAGTCTGCTGGTTCATTTGCAGAGGGCTGTTATGTGGTGCTCGTGACCGGTTGTGCGCACAGATCGGACGCGTCTGCCTGGGAGCGGGAGAGCCGTCTTCCACGGCTGTGCTGGCACCTTGTTTCACGTTTCAGAAGAGCCGTGCTGGGACAAGGCAGGGGGCTCGGGGACGATTCAGAAACGTGGCGTTCACCCTGGGAAAGGGGAGTCAGGGACAGCTGGGAGACGCGCAGTGTGAATCCGGCCCGGTGACACTTCTCCTGGAGGCCCTGTGCCGTCTACAGGAGGCTGAGGACCGCGGTCAGCAGGGGAAGCCGCTTGGGCTCTTCCGGGCCTAGGAGTTGCCCAGACCCCTGCGGCTGAAGCAGAAGCAGAAAGCGAGCAGTCCTGGCAGGGCCGTAAGAGCATGAGGCGGGGCAGAGGACAGCTCTCCTAACGTTGGCGTGCTGTGTTCCCGGCGTCACCCGGATCGCGCCCCTTCTGCTGACGCAGGCTGAGGACGTGGGAGGTACACGGTTGCCCAGTGCCGCTCGCTGCCGTGTTCGCGGTACCAGTGTTGGGGGGGGGGGGGGTTGGGGAGGGGGTTCTCATGCCCGATCGGCCCTCCCCAGGCTGCCTGGTTGTACCCCGCCAACACAGAGGAGAGGCTGGGAAGGGTGTGACCAGACCAGGAACAGAGCAGGCTCCCCGCGGGGGCCGCCGCCCGCACCTCGAGGCTGACACGCAGCCCTGACGCGTGGCCCGGGAGACCACGTTCATCACATGCGGCGAACCCGCGGCGCAGAGTGGGATCGAAGGCCGCCGAGGGGAGTCGCGAAATCACCGCGGCATCCCCCGAGGCTCGGGGCCAGACTCCCGTCGCCGTGATGTTCACAGGCAAAGGGTTCAGAGGAATTTGAAGGCGGGCGAGTGCACTTTCCTGACCTTTTCAAAAATAGGCCACTTTCACTTCCAGCCTCCGAGCCCAGTTGAATGAAACCTTTGTGCAATTTACAGAAAGTGAAGCGCGGGTCTGCGAGCCGGAGAAGCTCAGACTCCTCACGGCCTCTCCTGCGCTGAGTCACATTTCTTCTGAGTTGTCTGTTAACACTTGCCTGAAACACACTTTCTCTGAAGCTCAGAACTTGCTCACAGGTGGCCCTCATCCGAGTGCTTTAAAAATACAGGAAACGTGTGACGCGCCATTCAAGACAGGAAATGACAGACCACATGCGGCCTGGTGCAAAGATGCTCCGGTTATGGTGAGATGATATTGGTGGGAGTTGTCAGGGGCTCCTCCGTTGGATGCTTACGGAACACCAGCCGAGGTCTGCACACAACGTGAAAAGGCACTTTCTCTGCGTCCGGTCTTTGTGGGGAGTATGCGTGGCATGGGACTGTCAGTCCACCCTTTTAAACACGAACAGTTTGGGGGCGGTCAGTTAAGTGTCTGACTCTTGATTCCTGCTCAGCTCATGATCTCACAGTTCTTGAGTTCGAGCCCCACGCCGGGCGCAGTGTGAAGGCTGCTTAGGATTTGGTGTCTCCCGATCTCTCTCTTTCAACATAAATAAATAAACTTAAAAAAAAGACAAACAGTTTTATCCAGGCCCGTCCACTGTGCTGGTACTTCCGAGGTCAGGTAGAGTGGGTGACTTCTCATGCACTGTGTGCGTATTTTTTACAGATTTAAAAAAAATTGTCATTCAACATTTTATCTGTTTTTGAGAGACAGAGACAGAGTGTGAGCTGGGGAGGGGCAGAGAGAGAGAGGGAGACACAGAATCTGAAGCAGGCTCCAGGCTCCCAGCTGTCAGCACAGAGCCCAGCGTGGGGCTCGAACCCATGAACCATGAGACCATGACCTGAGCCAAAGTCGGATGCTTACCCGAGCCAGGCGCCCCATGCTATGTGCATGTTTAAAAATGATTGCAGGTAGAGGGGTGCCTGGATGGCTCAGTCAGTTAAGAGTCTGACTCTTGGTTTCAACTCAGGTCGTGATCTCACAGTTAGTGGGTTTGAGCCCCGCTTCGGGCTCTATGCTGACGTTGCAGACCCTGCTTGGGATTCTCTCTTTCCTTCTCTCGCTGCTCCTTCCGTACACACTATCTCTCTCTCTCACTCTCAAAATAAATAAACTTAAAAAAAACACAAATATTTGCATGTAGAGATAGGAAAGTTGGTGTTGAATTTCTTGTAAAATTCAACAGAACTGACATTTTTAATTGTATCCAGTCTTCCCCAAGGATAAGCTAGCCTTGGAAAGTGAATGTGAGGAGGAAAGTCATGGTCAAGGGAACCAGGAAAAAGAACAGAGTCCTGGCCTGAGACAGACGAGTCCTACCTCTCTTGCCCCATGACCTCCAGCAGATACAGAATAAAGGTCACATCTGTAAGAAAAATGACCTCCTCTAGTCTGTTTGTCACCCCTGAGAGCAGAGTTCTCCAAAGCTGTTGTCACCTGGGGAAGTTACGTGTCGATGCCTTTGGGGCTCTATTTCATAACTTTTGAATTGGTTCTGGGATTGGAGCCCTGACATCAGAGTTGAGGGACAAGACACCTTTGTGGGTTTTGTGGGGATTCTGTTTCATTTTGTTTTTTAACGTATAATTTACATACCAAAGGAGTCGCCCTTTAAGCTGCACAGTTCAGCCGTCTTCATTTCTTCACAGAGTTGTACAACCATGACCACTGTTTAATGCCAGGATATTTTCATCAGCCCCCAAAGCAGCCCTGTACTCATTAGCGGTCTGTCCCTTGCCACCAACTTCTGGCAACCACTCAGCTGCTTTCTGTCTCTGGATTCGCCCGCTTAAGACATTTTACCTAAACAGGTTTATACAATATGTAGCCTGTGACGTCTGATGCTTTTTTTCACGCGGCGTTATGTTTTCAAGGTTCATCCATGGTGTGGTACGCATTGCCCCTTCGTCCTTTTTGTGACTGAAGATACTCCATTGTGTGGACATGCTACAATTTTGTTTATCCACTTACCGGTTGATGAACTTTTAGGTGGCTTCCACTCTTCGGCTCTTACGGACGCTGCTCTTGTGAACAGGCATGTACAGTATTTGTGGGGGGTTATTTTACCATTTCTCTTGGGTGTTCACCCAGGAGCCGAAGTAGTGCTGGGTCACACAACAACTTTATGTTTAACTTTTCAAGGAACTGCCAAACTGGTTTCCAAAATCATGCACCATTTTACTGTCCCATTGGCAATACGTAAACGTTCCCATTTCTCAACATCCTCAGCAACACTTGTCATTGCCTTTTTTTTTTTTTTTAATCTTAAAAAATTTTACGTGTGAGGTGGAGAGAGAGCGAGCCAGGGAGAGGGGCTGAGGGAGAGAGAGAGAATCTTAAGCAGACTCCACACTCAGCATGGAGCTTGACACGGGGCTCGATCCCACGGCCCTGGGATCATGACCTGAGCCGGAATGAAGAGTCAGTTGCTCAACAGGCTGAGCCACCCAGGTGCCCCAGTGTCAATGACTAATGGTGTTCAAGATCTTTGCATGTGGTTGTTGGCTATTTGTATATCTTTTGGAGAAATGTCTGTTCAGACCTTCTGTCTGGTTTTAATTAGGTTCCCATTTTTTTTTATTGCATTGTAACTGTTCTTTATATATTCTGGATACAAGTCATTCCAGATGCAAATTATCTTATTGGATATATGATTTATAAATCTTTTCTCCTGTGGGCTGTCTTTTCACTTTTTTGATGGTGTCCCTTGAAGCACTAACGTTTTAAATTTTGACAAAGCCAAGTTCATCTGTTTTTTCCCTTGTGCATTGTGCTTTTGGTGTCCTAAGAAACTATTCCCCAACCCAAGGTGATAAAGATGTGTTTTTGTCTAAGCATTTTATAGTTTTTAGCTTTTACATTTAGGTTTTTGATCCATTTTGGTTAATTTGTATATATGGTGTGAGGTGGGGTCCAACTTCCTCCTTTTGCTTGTGGAAATCCAGTTGTCCCAGGATTGTTTGTTGAAAAAACTATTCTTTCTTCTCTTGTATTATCTTGGTAACAGATTTATTTCAAAACTCTTAATTCTACTCCATTGTCTCTCCTTATTGTGATTTGATCATGCAGTTATTTTTTATTCTATTGATACAGTTATTACATTGATTTTTCTTTTTTAAATTTTTTAATGTTTGTTTATTTTTGAGAGAGAGAGAGAGAGAGAGAGAGAGAGAGAGAGAG